GTTGGTATGAAAAATGTGTGAGCCTACAGGGTCTCTGAATTATCAAGAAATACAATTAATTTGTTTATGTGGTGGCATTTTTTTATGTCCAGGGTCTTTGTTCCCTGATTTCTCACTGTGGTATTTTGTCCCCTAATGCATGACATGTTATGCTGCAGTAATCCCAAACACCAGACATTCAAACACCAAGTGTACACATTTCATCGTAACTGTCTGCCACTTGTAATATTATTTACTTTAAAGTATTTTTCTTAAATTTTTAAGAATTGGATACATATATTTTCAAAACTTTAAAGTGTCTATTTCAAAACAGCATCACTTGCCCTAAGTAAAATGTATTCTTAAAACAAAAAACAGTACTGTTAAATTTTGCATAAAACTACTGCCTGTTAAGCCTTTGGGTTTAAGGTGTCTTTGTTTGTTTGGTTGGCTAATTGGTTTGCTGTTGTTCAAAAAGGAAGATAAGCAAGTGTTAGGCACGGAACCTAGCTACTACCAAACTGAGAATTTCTTCTTGGTAAATTCAGGATAGAAAGATCATTAAAAATGGAACCACTTCCACACATATGTGGTTCTTAGATGGCGTGTCTTTAACTATTAAAATTTTAGCGCACATGTTGAATACTGATGTGGTAGAACATGCTGAACAGACAGGGAGACTGGATTTAGGATCCATTCGTGAGCACCTACATTTGTTTCATTTTAAATAAGTCCCTTTTCTGTCTACCCTTGCTGCCCACTCCCTCACTTTTCTTATTTTTCTTTGTTCCTTTTTAGGAATTGGTCGTTTCACGCTCAGAGAGTTTCTTCTTTATGTTAAACATTTTACCTTTATCATCATCAATTTTCCAGACTCTCGTTCAATCAACACAGTATTTTGAGCCCATACCAGGAGTTAAACGTGGGGAATCCTGCTGTGAAGAGCACATCTGTGTCCTCACGAAGTTGATGATCTTTCTTTCTCCCCTTAGCACTTTTCCCCCCTTTAAAACATAGATTATTTTATTTTAAAAGGGTTCATAAAACTAAAGATCAGTGCAATTTAAAATATATTTTAATCCAGAGCTTTTCAAAACGCCCACTCTCTCCAAAAGGCCATGTCAATGGTTAAGATTACGGTGGCAGTTTCCCCTCAGACCACTAGAGGGCGTACACATTTTTTTTTTAATTTTTTTTTTTATTCCAAAAGAAATCGCTTGGTGGGTACAGCCCTTAAAGTTCGGAGGTGATGTGTCCTTTCCTCATTTTCTATTCAACTTGGGACAACTGTGGTGAATCCTCTGATTCTCTCACTCCACCAAGCCATCCTCGCCCCATGCAGTGACTCCTTGTCTGCCTTTACGAAGAATTCTTTTGCTGCCCCCAAACCACAGCAGTTTTGCTTCTGACTGCTTTCAGCATTTGCCCTTTTGACATTTTAGAAGAAATAAGATCCAAGTTTGATGTTGAAAAGAACACACTGATTTCTTTAGTGAGAGGAATTCTTCTCCCTGTTACGGTTTTCCCTAGCTGTGGGGATAATGCTCCTTTAAGGGTTTAAAGCAACTCCTTTGAGCCACATAAGATCTTTCTGAGCAATAACAGAGCCCCCTCTGAGCAGAGCTTTGGAGCTGACATTAGTCTCCTTGTTCGGCAGCGTGTTGCATTTTTGAGATCCGGCCTTTTCCTCTGAGTTTTACATTCTGAATTGACAAGCTCTTGATCTCAAACTTTGGAGAATACACTCCCAGACCAACCCTCCCCACAAACCATGATCCAGGACACATGTCCAATAGTTTCCCCAAGTTCTTTGCCTGGTGGGTGGCCCTAGAACCTTAGACCTCACCCTTTATTTGGTTCCAAAGTCCTCCTACCTCCAAATATCCATTCTGAGCTTTTCTTGGTAGTCAGCAAAAACATTAATAAAATAAATTGTAAATATGCCTGCCCTATTGCACATGGATATGAAATTACCTTTTGGATCAGCTCCTCTGCAGTTGGCATGGGGAAGGCTGGCAACATGGCTTGAGCAGTAAGAGTGGGGACTGGGCCTTGCTCACCCCTTTTCTGTGACTCTCACTCAGCCTGTGCTTTAAGGAGATGAACAACTTTATATTTTTAAAGGAAGGCATCAGAAATCTTCTGAGGCAGCAGCTTACTGCAAATATGCTACTCAAGAAGTAGGCTTTAGGGTAGAGCATATATACCCACCAGGCATTATACACCCAAAAGGTGAAACTGTGAATCGGAATTTTCAGGAGTGTATGTTCTCATGATGAGCACATTTGTGCAGTTAGCTATTTTGTTGGCACACAATTCCCATAGCTGCCAGGTTGTCCCAGGCAGGAGACTACACAGTCCTTCAATCATTTTAGAATGAGCCCATATGTTCTCTCCAGTAAGACTCCATGACCTGAACTTGTCCTGGAGATTAGATTTACTACCACCTCAGACTCTCTAGTAATAGGTGCATTCATTTGCTCAGTCCTTAAAAAGTAATCATGTGGCATATTTATTGCCCTTTCATTTTCATGTTGACTCTGTAATTAGCAGAGAATATGGCCATTTCTCTAGGAAATTACTGCCCTGTTCTTTGGTTGGCTCATCCTACCCAGACATATAGACCATTCCCCACATTGAAATTGCAATAATCACTTCAGGAAATTGCTTTCCCTATTGGAAACTGGGAGCTCACATTGGAGTGTTTCCACAGCACAGCTGATGATAATTACGACTCACTGAAATTTCAGTTTTCTTTGTGACACAAAAACTGGGACATAAATTAAAACTCAATTATCCTTTAAGGGTAATTGGGGTTATGAAACCAAGACACTGTGAGTCAGTATGTCGATATCACAGGAGCGCAGAGTCTGATGGAATGGTATGTGTCCTGTCTCCTGAAGCAGCCTTTCACAGGCCATGGTTGCCCAGGGCACACCAGAGGGTATACCAGACCGGGTTCCAGCTTTGGAAAGATGCAGTGAGCCCCTAGGACATCCTGGGACAATTAAAATATGCTAAAGGTGCAATGGGAAAGTCCTGGCCTTCACCTGGTGATGGAGCAAGGTGCTCAGAGACAAGACTCCAGCCAGTACCTGACACTGTGCAGGTGGAATGGCAGTTCTTTCTACCTGGAAGATAGATGCAGTTCTTTGGTTATACGATTTCATCATCAGAGTCTATGAGAGGAGGACAGACTTTGTTTTTCCCAAAGGGGGTGATCTGCAAAAGCTGAAGAAAAAAAAGAGACTTTAGGTACACCAAGTCATAAATTAAATGCATCAAGAGTATATCATTAAAGGAAGCCTTGAATTTTTCTTAAAGTACAAGAATTTCCCACATACCTGGCCATCTCTTGATGATACTTATTTGTATTCTCTTCAGGTCAAATCGTATCCACTAAAACTTCCCGACCTTGTACCCAAAGCCTCTCATGATCCATCCTTCTCCCCATTCAAGATTTTCAACCGGGTTTCACTTCCCTGTCTTTCCAGAGAATCTGTTCCTCCCCCACCATGTGCACTGTTCATATTTTTAAAAGAGAAGATACCCATCACATGACAGTGATGATTTCCTCTTTGTCTCTGCCACTCAGCTGAGAGCCCTATGGTGCCATGACCATGGTGCATGTAGTTGGGCACATAGTAGGCACTCACTATATGAGGCTGGCTTTGTGCACCATTCAGACGGCATTAATTCTAATAATTTCTAACTTTTCTTCCTGGAAGGTGAACCTTGCTGTAAATTTTTAACTACACAGAAGAATGATCAAACTGAACCCCCTTCTCAAACCAGCCAGGTTTGCCGTTGAGGGCACTGACGCCTGCAATCAACTTTCTATCCACGGGACAACATAAAGTTCCAGACTACGGCTTCCGGCAGACCTCTGTTTTCAGTGGACGCATCAGTATCATCGTGGTCCCTGACAGTCATGAGAGGGGAATGCAGGGTCGAGGTTATTCCCACCGTCCCTGGGCAGCCATGCCTGCTAGACATGCAGGGAAACTGCTATGTCTTATCTTGACTTTCACAACCTTGTTTCATAATCCACTTTCTTATCTATAACCTCACAAAACCAAAGAGAAATCGGTACAAAGTATATTGACGAGCAATCAGAACTTGATTCTCAATGGCAAAGGCAAGGGTTCATTATAAATAGCAAAACAGCTGGCTTGGGCCATGTTGCCAGCCACTCATCCAGTGGAGGGATTTGAATGACATCATAACTCTTGAGAGGGCATTGCTATCCAGCTGGTGTTATTTAGAACACACAAACACTGGAGAAAGAAAACACACACAGAGAGAGAGAGAGAGAGAGAGAGAGAGAGAGAGAGAGAGAGAGAGAGAGAGAGAGAGAGAGAGTTATGCAGAAAAATATGAACAATGGGAAAATAGCTTGTCCTTTCCCCTGGTGGTGGTGGTGGGGACGGGGAGGGGGGTGATAGGCAGCCTAGTAGAAGAAGGAAAAAAAAAGATTTTATTTTTTTCAGTTGGCTTTACAGCTCAGCAAAGTCTTTGCCCTGTCACAGGCAAAAAGCATGAACCGGTGTCTTCCTAAAGGGAGCCAATTGCGACGCTGCCTGCCCCTTTTCTAGGTTCTGGGAAATGAGATCATTTTTCTGGCTTGGCAAGTAGGACAAGGGGTCACCCCAGTGCTGTCTTCCAACCGAGTTTACCTTAGTCATTTCAGGGTTAAAATCGTAGGTTTGCTTGGGGTGTCTTTGCTTCACTCTTTTACTTTGCGTTTGCTAGAATGTAAAATTGCTTGCCCACCTGCCACATACCCTCCTTTAATACTGGTAAGGTGTATTAACAGATGTGCGTCTTCATGCCCAGGAGAAAGTTAATCAGAGAACAGATCCTCTTCTCCTATAGTAGCATCAATATTTTTAATATCTGCTCACCCTGTCACTAACACACCTTCTTTTAAGAGAAAAAAAAAATGCTTCTGTGCTCTAGTTTTAAAATGCAAAGGTATGATGTTATTTGTCACCATGCCCAAAAAAGTCCTTACTCGATAACTTTGCCAGAAGAGGGAGAGAGAGAGAAGGCAAATGTTCCCCCAGCTGTTTCCTGTCTACAGTGTCTGTGTTTTGTAGATAAATGTGAGGATTTTCTCTAAATCCCTCTTCTGTTTGCTAAACCTCACTGTCACTGCTAAATTCAGAGCAGATAGAGCCTGCGCAATGGAATAAAGTCCTCAAAATTGAAATGTGACATTGCTCTCAACATCTCCCATCTCTCTGGATTTCTTCTTGCCTCATTATTCCTGCTAACCAATTCATTTCCAGACTTTGCACTTCACAAGCAATGGGAAAAGTCAGCAGTCTTCCAACCCAATTATTTAAGTGCTGCTTTTGTGATTCCTTGAAGGTAAATATTTCTTACTCTTTGAAATCATTGGGGGATTTGCTTTTATTTGTGTACTGCTTGCTTCTTCCTAGAAATGTTATTCACTTTAGAATTTTCATTGTTTCGGAACTGGGAGTTATTTATAAATTGCTGAATGTGCAATTCTGTGGGATTTGAAAAGATAGCTCCGGGAGATAGATGCCTTTACACAGAGATATGTATGAGTAGAAACGATTGCAAGGTACTTATGCTAAATCCTCCACTTTGCCGGGGTTCAGTGGTGTCTTTAGAGAAGAGTCCTTTAAATCCTGTCTATGGTTAAGGGCTATCGAGAGTGGATATGAACTTGGGAATTTTTTTTTTGCAGGTGCAGATGTTTAATTTAAGAAATTGTTCTTACGTATATATGAGTGTGTGTGTGTGTGTGTGTGTGTGTGTGTGTGTGTGTGTGTGTGTGTAACTTGTCAGGATTTTTATTATAAGGCATGCCACATACAGAGAATTACATTTTAGATGATATTAAATCTTTTAAATATGACCTTTGAAACTAAGGTCCCGGAACTCTCTGCACTTCTGCCCAGAAAGTCCAAGTTAGAGAGGAGTTTAATTTGCTCTTGAAAAAGAACTTGACAACTCTTGCTGAACTTGCATATTCATATAATTTAAATAAATGCATACTGTATATGGGAAGCAGAAACTTTCTACTAACTGTCCAAGTTTTCTGGTTTAAAGAGGACTTTCTCGGGCAACGTTTGGGCTTGGGGGGTTGTGTGGTAAAACTCTGACTTTACACTCGGTGCTGCAAAGTCTCGTTAGGTCAATTTGGGTGCCACCGTCCGTGCCGCGACTTCTCGTTTCCAATCACTGGCCCCAGTTCAAATTTCCATTCTCAGCAAAATTATATCCTTCAAGGCATGTGTTTTTCCAATTTGCAAGCACTTTTAAGCTGCTGTCACTGGTTCCCGATGAAATTGCCTGAGGTCTCAATTCATAAAATGTCCCTGCTCCTGGGTACTGCATTCATTTGCTGCTTTCAAATACTCCACTGCCGGGACTTTTCTGAGTAAGTGGCTTAAGAGTTAAGGATCCATCCTTGTCCGGGCACCTGATTCTGCTGCCCTTGAGATGCCAAGATACAGGCTGGCTACTTTGCTTTTAAAAGAAATCAAGTCAACATACGTATATGCTATGTGGTCTGACAGGTGGGGGATTTGTCTCCCAACAAGAGGCCGTTGAGTGTTATGTCTGCCTTAATTACAAGTTTGGAAAACTGTCTCCAAATGAACTTTCCCTGCTGTGTATGCTGAACTTTTCAAAAGCAGAGCTAGCAATAAGTTGTTCCTTTTTCCTGCATTTGGGGCAGGAAGTGGTTTGAGGGAGGTGAGTGGTCTTTCAGATGTCATTCAGGGAGTAAAGATGTCCTGTCTGGAGGCAGAACTCACAAGGTGATGGATTGTACTCTGAGTCTCAAGACATTTTCCAAGTGTTTGAGTCAGAGGGGAGATGGTAAGGGAGAGGGCTGGAGCCTGGGTCACTGTCTGGGGTACAATGGAAATTGGTATCTTGATTGAAGGGAAAAGATTGACTCAAATCCAAGCTGTATAATTTGTTCATTGTTTGAATGGACAAAAGGCAGTTTACCCAGACTCATAGCATACCTGCTTGGGTGTCCAAATGTAACTAGATGCTTTCACAAACCCCACCCACAAAGCAGCACATGTTTTTAAGTCCTCAGTTTTCTATTCACATCAGCCTCATAATACTCAACCTGACCTGCTGTAAAAGATCTGGAACAAACAAAAATGGTTACACCTACAGTGAGTATTTTCTTATGACTATTGCCCTCAAATTCTGCTAGGCATTTTCATTGTAGCCCAGACATCTGGAATCAATTGATATTCCATTGATTTAAGATAAAAAGAAAAGTCTTTTAAATTTTGGATTTGTGGGGGATTTTTGAGAAAGAGTGTTCTGATATTTTTTCTTCCTCTTTTTTCTCTTCTCTTTCTGGTTCTTCCTTCCTTTCTATCATATTTTTCCTTTCTCTTCATTTCTTTTGTGTTTGGCAAAACAAAAGGCCAAGGGAATGATGAACATATGGGGCCACTTGTTTCAACCTTTTAACTCCTAAACAAGTTCATTATTGTTTTCTGTTTGGGGGCACATAATGTGATAAATTCTTTGGTTCTTCGTGGGTGTACTGAACTGTTTTTGTGAACTAAAGGAACATGCATTAAAGGTTCTATCTTGTCCTAGAACTGTAAGTGCTGACATTTATCTGACAATATAATTAAGGAAAAGAGAAAAAGCTGTAAAAAAATCTTAAATTCTTAAATGCTAGAGATTTATATGTATTGCTGGGCTTAAATGTGTTATACCAGAAATAACTATTTAAAATATAGTTTTGACATCTACTTATGTTATCAGTTCACTAAGGCTGTAAGCTAAGTACCTTTTCCCCTGAATTACATGACAACTGAAGAACTCAAAGGCATCTATAATTGAAAGTGCTTGGCTTTGAGCATTACTATGGAGAAATAAGGTTGATAGCATAAGGATACATCCTAGAACTGACCCATTGCCAGAGTGTGGGTATATTCTGTAAGATCAATTACAAGTAGCTTTTTTGAAAGGGCAATGAAGTACAGTTGAATTGGTTTTGTTGAGGTTTCCACTGGAAATATTGAAGGGGAAAAGCCCCACTAATTATTTTATAACTAAGGAAAATGAGGATTGGTTGATGATTTGTTTCTAGCAGTCTCAGTGGTTTGGGCTTCATGTGTGTGGAGGGTTTCCATAAGACTCCAGTAGAGTCCTATTGAGAAAATGGAAGAAATGTTCAATTGTGCTTTTACCTCCTCTTCTATTTTATGCCCATTACTTATGATGATTTGCAAATAGAAGGTGTTTTTTGTAGTCAACTGTTTAACAAGAGTCCAAGGTTCTCCCCACCCCCAATTTCTGAGCTGAAGGTCTGGCTACCAACATGGAAATCTTCATTAAAAGGATGGGGCACACTTTTCCACTGATGTGGAAGCATTGAATGGAGAGTGCATGGAGAGCAAGGAGCATGGCACAAAATCAATGACTTGAGTCTGTTGCTCCAAAAGTGATAGGGTTGAATGGACCTGCCACTACTAGGAGGTTCCAAAGAGGCTCTTTTTATCCTAATAGCTTCCAGTCTAACTCCATGACCTTTAACAGGGTCTTTCACTTAACCTATTCTGATGACTCTTCCAATGCTGTTGAAAGTAGATGCATCTAAGAAGGGGGAAGCTGCTCGCTTTGGGAGCCTTCCTGGAAGAAACCACAGCTTTGTGCCACAAGTAGTAATATGGAAACACTTAATGATCACCTTAGCCTTGTTTCTTCTACTGAGAGTGAGGATGGAGCTGTGAGCCACAGGAATTCTGCCTCTGGCAGGGCTGCCACTTGGCTGTCTGTCACTGCGAAGTGAAGCCAACCAGGGGTCCCTCAGTATATTTTGCTATAAAATTTATCCAGTGTCATGTAAGTCCCTCCAAGAGGTGAAGTCAGAATTCCTGGGACTTTAAAAAAAAAAAAAAAAGCTTTTGTAGGTTTTGAGCTTGGTGCCCTGTTCATGGAAAGCATTCTCTACACATTCTCTACACGTGTTGATGTGATATTGAGCTTGACACAAAGGGCTTTAGCATGCAGAAAGAGTAGGGTCTACTTAGCAAGAGCCAATTTCATTCCTAAATCCTCACATTTTTTCTTGTTTCTGTTTTTTATATTCCCACTTGTGGTTGTGTTAACTTCTGTAGGTAAGATATCCCCCAGGTAAGAAATCTCTCTCTCTCTCTCTCTTTCTCTCTCTCTCAATCTTAAGTGAAAAAAAGAAAAACTCTATAATGATATATAGTATTTTTATAAGCCACAGTAAGTTCTTTTTAATCAGTAGCTAGGGAAGGATGTTCTGGTTAATTTAATACTCTCGTCAATAATGAATGCATATGCTATCTGTGGATGGCCTGTCTTTAGAGAATGTAAATTAATAAAACATATTTGGAACCAAATCTGGACTGAGCACATTTAACTTTTGATAATTCAAAAGGTTTCAGAACCCATAAAGAAGGGGTCCTTGGAGGACTTCTCCAAGGTTTCCTAGTAGCAAAGGGATTACACACAGGTCATTTGGTGTCCAGATGTGCTCAGCTCAGGCCACCCTGTGGTCTCTCGTGCACGCTGTTGCCCTTCTGTGCAGGGTGGTTCTGATTCATGACAGTGATGGAATGTGTGTGGGGGGGTCAGTTCACCCTTGCCCCACCCCCAATCCTCTTGCAAGGACCCAGGAGGAAACATGACCCTCCTTCTGTTTCCTCGGCAGGTAAAGGTGCACATCATGTCGTCCTCCCACCTCTTCTACCTGGCCCTGTGCTTGCTCACCTTCACCAGCTCCGTCACAGCTGGACCGGAGACACTCTGCGGGGCTGAGCTGGTGGACGCTCTTCAGTTCGTGTGTGGAGACAGGGGCTTTTATTTCAGTAAGTAGCCCTCCCTCTCACAGCTCTGTGGATTTACAACCACAAAGAGTGTGTGAAGAACTGAATGACTGCCCGTGGCAGGCAGCCACCCTCAGCCTGCGATTCCTCACCTTTAAGTAAGCCTAGTGTTTCAGTGGGGCTGTGGCAGGTTTTGTAGATTTCAAATGGAATTTTCCTCCTTAGCAGTTTGTCTTTTAACTATTTCCTGATGGGCACTCAGGCAACTATTATGCTTTTCCCTCACCATTCCCATTCCCTTCAGTGAAGGGAGGGGACAGAATGGCCCTCAGGGATTGAGGTTTTTGTTCTCTACACCTTTGTGTGCACATATAAGCATATGGAAACATGTAGACCTGTTTGAAGTGCCAAGAAATTTGGAGCAAAATAATAAGGTGGACTTGGAAAAAAATTAAGAGGGCACATCCCATGTCTCCATGCTACATGAAATCTCCAGGAACAGACAGAGGTTGAACTTCCCTGAAAGGCATGTTTGCAAATACACAGGCTCTTTTAAATGCAAACAGAAATGCCAGGTTCATTTGCCCTCTACACAAATTGACCTTGAGTTTTTGTTTATTGCCTTCCTTTGGCACAGCCTTTTTCTGCGGCTCTCCAGTGATATCACCATCTGGAAAGGGGTTTCTGACAAGTGTGGGGTTACTTATTCCACATGGAGGTCTCAGGTGATTAAAAAGTCGACAGTCAATGAAAAGTAGACGGCCAAGTCAACGCTTGCAAATAATAAGCACAAACAAAAGTCGGTGCTGCCTGAGGGAACTCATCACTTAAAGAATCTATGCCAGAAGCTTGTACATTACAGTACAGTGAAATCTAATGCCAGATGTTCATTCTGTATAATTTTTTTTTTTTTTGGAATTTTGGAGAGTTCCAGAAAACTGACGCTCAGGTCCTCGGTGAGCATGAATCATTCTTAGAGCTTCATATCGCTCAAGTGTAGACAGCTTTCCTCAGTCACCCACTAAGTTTTGAATAGCTCCCGGATTGACTCACACATTTCAAGTCTTTCTCATCTTCTTCCCGGGGAAGGTGGTGGGTGTGGGGAAGGGGCGTAGGAGGGGCGCTGGGACAGGGGTCCATATATAGGTTTCTGGGGTGGATGGGTGGAGGGATGGGAAGGAAGAGGCTGAAAGGAGGACTGATGATCTGTACACATTGTGGATTTGGCAACAAATAGAATTTAAACAACTAGTGACAGAGAATGAGATGTGCTTTCTACTATTTGAATGGGCAAAATCCCACTCTGTTTCCAGCCAATACTTTAATTGAGCTAATTCATCTATTTCTCTGGCAATAACGTGATTCTGTCCAGCTCTTGGTTGCAGTGCAGATGAATGAGTTCACCAGGTGGGTTCTTATCAAGCAGCAGACTTGTTTTACAAAAGGCAAATGTGTCACATCAACTTCCGTCAGCAAAGGGTTGTCATTAATCTTTACAGTGCTGCTACTGGTCCACATTAAAAATGAATAAGTAACCCTCACTTATTATGCCCAAGAGGATTTCTCTTGCCTTGATAATCCATTTGTGTAGTTTCCTTTGATCCAGTTCACCAGGTGATTACCAAGCCTACAAGTGTTTTCTGTTATGTGCCAGGTTGAAGTGTCCTGTTCAACATGATATGCTCCAGGATTTCCATGCACAGTGCATGGAAACTGGATCCTCCAATGACGATGATGGTAAAATGAGAATAGAAAGAATGATTTCATCCCAAGTAACCCCATGGTACATATATATGTTCACACTGACACTTAAGAGTATTGAACAACTATGATGGAAACCAATTTCAAGGCACTGAAAGGATTCTTTTATTATTACTACAATAATCCAATTTAAGCAAATGCTTTGAAATTGAAAAGGGCACATTAATCTATGGCAACTCTTGATGTTTTGAGTATGACTTTGAAAAGGAAGGTGTTTTATAAATTGTGTATTATTATCGTCAGCGTTGTCATTGAGAGTCTATGTTTCATAAGTTCTGCTTTATACAATTCTGTGGCTTATGTAAATCTTTTCCCTGATGTCGACCCTCATGCACAAAAGTATTCTTATTAACTTTCTACTCAACTGGATAATCCTGTTTGCCCAAGAGAAGTTAGCCCATTTAAATCCTTTAACTCAAAACATTGATGGAACATCTGCTCTGTGTAAGATCCTATACCAGTCATCAATGAGACCTAGAAACAAATGAGAGAGATTGACTTTGCCTTCAAAGAATTCACAGTCTAGTCACTAGTTGGGAGGTTAAAAAATGCACATAAGTATTATCAAGTGTCATAAGAGAAAAATAACTGTGGGAGATTAGATTAGAATCATTTATACTTTTCCTGACTATGTTGTCCCATTTTTGAAATCACCTAACCAGGATTTACCCTCTTAATGGGCTCCTTGATGTGAAATACTATATTTATTTACCATGAAATCCTAGTACCTCACTCAATGCCTGGCTACTATAGTAGTGGCTCATATTTGTTGAACTGACAGGATTGAATTGAGTTGAATTGAATCCAGTTGAATAAAATGGAATTACTTGTTTGAGATCTTAGTCTTCAACACCATCAAGAATTAGGTTTATCAAGTACTTTGGACAATTCTCACCTCATATTTATGTAGCTATTTGAAAAAACTGTTACTTTTTTTAAAAAATGAATGAAATATATACTAACAAACTTATGGCTGCATTCTAGTTATCCCCCAAGCTACAATGATAGTCTATTTTGTGTCTGAGCCGATTATTCTTACAGGCATTAACTGTTGTCAACAAATTTTATTTAGTTTCATGTTTGTCCCCTGGGATTTACTGTGTGTGGAGAAGTCAGCTCTAAGCATTTATAGTCTTTGAAATCTTATTAGAACAAAGCAGTCTTTTCCACCTCCATCCCCTGTAAATTGACTCTTACTATTTTTTACCCCTATTTTCAAAGTTTTACTGTGGCTGCGCCTTGTACCTTAAGCTGCTTGAAGACCCATTTTGAAAGTATAATTTTTTTTTTAGTAGTGAAAGGAAGTTTTTTATCTTAGTGTGAAATTCAAACATCTGAAAGAAAACTGCCTCCATATCTATCTTTTTTGTTGGGCCAGAATGTTTAACAAGGAAAGATTTTTTTTTAACCTTATTAGAAACACAACTGAATAAAATTTTCTGTCATGCTAATTTTGTATAGATTTGGCCCAGTGTTGTGAATGAGCTCATATTTCTCTACAAGCCCCAGTCCCACTACAGCACTGTGGAAAACAACTATCTAGATTATCTTTTTTGTAAGCATCTTCCCAGCTAAATGAAACACTTCCTCTATAATTAATGCAGCTTCCCCAGACATTTTCTGAAATGAAAGTTCCAGTGAAGAGCTAATTACTGATTCTTCCCTATGCATCAGAGTAAGAGAGTGTATCAGCCAGTCTTGTGTGCTCATAGTCCTATGAGAAAAATGGTGGCTTAATAGAGGTGGCACACTGAAAAACAGCTAGCTGTTATCTTACCAGATTGATGGAGCTTTCACAGAAGGTGGTTTGTTATAACCTTATTTTTTGTGGAACTGCAAGAGGAAACGAGCTTCCAGTGAAATAGGAAACATTAAGTTTACTATAGACATAATTTTTGAGAGCCATTAACCATTTTAACATGTTCTTCAAGGGCTTGTTGAATTTCTCTCCTTGGAGAGAATTCAAAAATATTGATGGACAACCAACCATCTTGGATGGTTTCAATTAACAGCAGCTAAAAGAAAGTGAGTTTCTGGGGTCCTTTTTAGTTTTAGTAGTCTATAAACAATCCCTTAAATAAATTGTATATGCTTTACCTCGGCAGTCTGGAAAAAAACAGAGAAGTAAATCAATTAGAAAAGAAAGTTGGTTACCCTTTCAGATCTTCCAGATTTATAGCTTTTATAAAACGTACTTCCAATGCATAGTTATTAAGAACAGATCTGAATAAACAAATGGTATTCTTTGTGTGTTAAAACATACTGCTTATATAGAGTTCACGTGAAACTTTGCCATGAATTTCATTGTTATTGATTGAAACAACCTTCCTCCATCTAGGTTATTATTATTAACTCAAGTTTCTTTCATTTGAAATATTGTGCTCAGAAAACTGCTCCCAGACCTGTCACTCATTAGTTGTAAGATTTTGGCAAACACTTAAACTTCTTGGGTTGAAATGTCCTTGTCTATAAAACAAGGAGATTTTGTTAAAGTAAATGACCTCTTCCAACTTTAACAGACTCATAGTCTAGGTTGTAATTAACAAAGATTTGGCACTACTCAAGAAAGGTGGGCCTTGGGTTTAAGTAGTGACCAAAGAATCTTTCATCTCCTTTATCTTCTTTAGATTCTGTCTGTTCCCTAAGAGAAGATTACGCCCACTTAAAGAAAAAAGAACCACATTCTTTTTGTTGTTGTTGTTTAAGTTGGTTTTCAACCCCTCAGAGAATATATACAGCTCATCTGGTCAAAGGAACACATACCTCATGAAAGAAAGTAGATTGTCATTTTCCTTTGCTGGGAAAGACCAACAGAGTCTGTCTCATCTACATTTTTCTCACTCTCTTGGACATGATGGGGACAAGTGAGGTCAGATTTTAGCTGTCCTTTATTGAATTAGAAGGAGAAAATAAGAATCTGTAGCCTTCTAAACCTTGACCAAAAGTTTTCCCCCAGCCTATTGATACTGCCTTCCAAGTAAAGCAGAGATGGTACAATTTGGGTCATTCAAAGATATAGTCACCCAATTTACTTAGCATTGCTTGAGTAGGGCTGGATTTATGCTGCGCCTTGGCATTTTTTGGCTTGGTACCTCGCAGGTCACCAGTCATGCATTTGTATGACAGCTGGTCAAAGTTAGTCCAGTCATTGACTATAAAAAACTCTTCTCTTTGAAACTGATTGGCATATGTAGGGTTTGAGCTTAATGCCCTGACCTCATCATTAGTGCCACTAAGCTAATAAGCCACAGATATTCTTAAGAAAAACAATGTTTTTTATA